CGGCGGCCGTCGTGGCAATAACAACAACGACAACGTGGATACGGGGACAAAGTTATAGGCGTAGGCAACGCGTAGATGAGAACGGGTAGTGGTAACGGCAGGGGAGAAGGCGAAACGAGCACGAAGGCGACTATACAGTACTTGGCGCAGATGACGATGTGTGGCGGCAAAATGCATTCACTAAGCAAATTGTACTTCGCATATCTATTTCATTTACTTGATTGAATTTATGAACTTATAATAATCATAGTTGGGCTTCCAAACCGGTAAAAAGACGAAAAAATTAATGAAAATAATTTCTTAGTTGTTTTTTTAAATTTAAATTTAATCGAAAAATATTTTTAATTGTCACCATGCTTTATCTTGCAGTGTAGTCAATAATATCCTCGTCCTGGCAGTCATCGTTCTCGCTGTCTTCGTCATCTAAATTCGCGTGTACAGGCCGACCCACCCACACACACACATATATATACACACTTACAGAGGGAGAGAGAGAGAGAGAGAGAGCACATGTACGACGGTTGTCGGTTGGACTGTCTCTCCACAGAGACGACAACAACACCGCGACTTAGCTGAGCTTTCGAACTGCGAGAGTCTGCTTGCCTGCCTGTGTGGCGTTTTGGTGGCGTCGCTTGCTGAAACTTTTTCACACTCCTATACGCACACACACACACATTATATATATATATATATATATATATATATATATATATATATATATATATATATATAGAACAAGCGCGCGCAGGCACAGACATAGACATAGAGAAATTGCTGGAGCTGCGGCAGCGAAGCGACTGCGGCAGCGAAGCGACTGCGGCGGCGACAGCGACGATAACGATGGCTGCGACGAGGACATACACATAAATAAAAAGTCCTTCATTCCGACGCGACCAGCGAGTAACGGCATATGAACGCTGCGGAGAAAACGCTCGAAACAGGCAGTAAATGGCAAATTACCAAACAACAAAAAGACCTTTAAGTATATACATAAAAACAAAAAATTACAAGCACCAAAAACTCAATTACTAAAGAAAGAGCATTAGAAAAAAAATGCAAAAATTACTCAACATTTTTTTTTAATAAATTCTTTTGAAGTGCGTGCAGAATCTAGTGAAAAGTGTATTACATCAAAAAGAGTTACGGTAAACGAAGCGAATTTAAAACGCAGTAAGCAAATTACAAAAAGGTGCAGTCGCAGCGTCTATCACTCCGCTGCCCAGCACATTTACACACATTGAGTGGGTGCTATATCGCCAGACTCAGACAGACACACACACATATATGCCGTTATAAGGAAAGCGAAAGACAACGCCAAAATAAGGCGAAATAATTCTCGCATACAGCAGCAACAACAACAAAAAATAATAAAGCAACTGGCTCCCTCTCACCTCTTCATTCTCCTTTCTCACTTCTCCATTCTACCATCCTTGATTTTCCATTTTATTTTTGCTGCGTGCAAATGTTTTTTAATACATATTCTTCATCTTCTTTTTTTCTTACATTGTGTATTATTTAGCGTCTGCTCCGTAGTTTGAGTGGGCGTAGCTACAATTGGCCAACGTCGGTGTCTGAGGCAATTAATTCATAAATATATCGTATGCTCACTTGCCCCAGCATATAAAAACAAGACAAATATTTGAAGTGAAATAAATGCATGCAGCTAAGAGAAAAAACCAAAAGCAGCGGTAAAAAATGCACAGCGTTGCCACACGCCGCAACATAACGCACGCAGGCAACATCGAGCAGCGAGTAACGGGACCTAATTTCCAACGAGCTTTTCGTGTTCTTTGATTTCTTTTCGTCTTCATTTTTCTTCCTTTTTTGCCCTTTTGCGCTCACTAATTTGTGCTGCCTTTGCTGCTCGCTCGCTCACGTTGCGTTGCCAGCGTTAACGCCAACGTCAACGTCGACGGCGCAGTGTGTGTGTTTGCATGTGTGTATTTCTGTATAGCTGCTGTGCGCGGGTGTAGATAAAGCGACATTCTGCATAACATTTTTCTTTGTATCTTATAAAAACAGGCTACTAGCTACAATTGCAAAAGCAGTAATAACAACAACAAGAATAACAAGAATATTAATAATAATAATACCATAAGCAATAACAGTGCAAGCAATGCAACATCAACATCAACAGCAGCATCAACATCAACGACAGCAACAGCGAGTGTAGGGGGTGTGTGTGTGTGTGTGTGTGTGTGTGTTTGTGTGTGTGTTTGTGTGTGTGTTTGTGTGTGTGTGTTTGTTTGTGTGTTTGTTTGTGTGTGTGTGTGTGTGTGTGTGTGTGTGTGTGTGTTTGTGTGTGTGTTTGTGTGTGTGTTTGTGTGTGTGTGTTTGTTTGTGTGTGTGTGTGTGTGTGTGTGTGTGTGTGTGTGTGTGTGTGTGTGTGTGTGTGTGTGTGTTTGTGTGTTTGTGTGTGCGTGTGTGTGCGTGCGTGCGTGTGTGCGTGAGAGTGTGTGTGTGGCTGTGTGTGTGTGTGCGCGCTTGTGCGTGTGTGTGCAGCTCGCACGCGACTTCTGTTTGTGAATAATGAAGAAGAAGCAGAAGCAAAAACAGCAGCAGAGGCAAAGAGAGGCGCCAAGAGAAGCATCGCCAGCAGCAACGGTGGTAGCGGCAGCGACAGCCAAGGTAGCAGAGGCCGAGAGAGGCGTCGTTAGCAGCAGCAGTAGTACTTCGCGACGCAGCAGCAGCAGCAACAACAACAAATAGCAAAAACTGTGCAGCGTTCGGCAAAGCGCAATACTAACAACAACAACAGCAGCAGCAACGATATCATCAGCAGCTACAACAACAACTTTAAAGCGCTGCCATACCGAAACGCCACTTAGCGTCGACGGCAGTAGCAGTCGCAGCAGCACCAGCAGCACATGCAGCAGCAGCAGCAATAACAACAACAACCAAAAAAGCAGCAAACTAAATACAGATGCAAATATGTCGAAAGCATCGTCAGCAACATCAGCAGCAGCAGCAGCAGCAGCAGCAGCAGTAGCAGCAGCCAGCAGCAGCAATGCAGCCGATTTTAGCGCATTTGATTTTAATGATAGCTCTGATAATTCCGATACGCCTTTAGTGCCACGAGCGCCATTTCTCAGCCGCGCTGCCGCTGCAGCTGCGGCAGCAGCAGCACTCAGCGCCAACAGTAATAGCAGCAGTAGCAGCAGCAGCACCACCAGTAATAACACGGGCAACAACAATATTACCATTGGCAACAACAACAACAACAACATCAACAACAACAACAACATCATCAACAACAACAACAACAACAACAACAACAACAATGTCAATGGCAATGGCAACAGCAATGACAATGGCAATGTCAATGATAATGCAACTGACTTGCAGCACAACACTAACATCAAAAGCATCAGAAGAAGCAGCAGCAGCAGCTCGCAAAGCAGCGACGAAAGCAACAGCGACGCAACAGCAGCCACAACGGCGGCTGTTGCTGCCGCTGTCAATGCATTGCACAATGGCAAACAGCAACAGCAGCAACATCATTACAATAACAACAATAACAATAATAATAACAATAATAATAACAATAATAATAATATTAATAGTACTAATAATAACAGCAACAGCAACAAACAACGCGATCGAGCAATGGATGATGAGGAGGAAGATGACGAGCAGCTTCTGGACGAGGACGAGGATGATTACGATGATGATGACGACGACGATGATGATGATGATGCTATAGATCAGCAACTGTCCAGCAATAACATGAGCAACAGCATTAATAGCAACAAGAACAATAACATTAACAATATGCATAGCGTAGCCGCCGCCCCAGCACCACTCACGTTGCCTGCCGATTTGCGTCATGGACTCCACTCTCGTGATCACAGCCAAGCGGAGCAGCCGGACTATGATGACGAGGATGAGGACGAGGATGAAGACGACGATGAAGATGAGGATGTGGATAGCCGCACAGCGTTGACATCGGCGCATACCGAGAGCAGCGGTTTGCATATGAGTGCAGTGGCCGCTGCAGCAGCAGCGGCAGCAGCAGCCGCCGCTGCCGCAGCAACTGCAGTTAAGCTGAATGCAGCAAATGTGACAGCGGCGCAGCTGGAGAATGCCACGGTGCTGGATATGGTTAATAATGCAGCTAATCTCGGCATGGGCAGCGGTGGCGGAAGCAACAGTATACCAGCGCCGAGCAGCAGCCTCATAGGCGGCAACAGCAATACCAGCTTCTCCACCAACAACAACAGCAGCCACGCGCTCAGCTCAACACTAAGCAATGCCATCAACGAGCAGCAGCAACAGCAGTTATTGCGGCGCAGCAGCAATTCGCATCATCATCACCAGCAGCAACATCAACAGCAGCAGCACCACAATCACCACCACTTGCAGCAGCAACACCAGCAACAGTTGCAGCAGCAGCCATCAAGCAGCGGCAGCGGTAGCGGCAGCGGCAGCGCTGCCAGCGAAAGACGCAAGTATCGTCATCAGAATTACAGCAAAAACATTTACATTGGCACGAAAAACGCCGAGAAGTGGGAGCACATGCGCACACGACTGCACTTCAAGAATGACGTCGAGTTCGTGGCCTATCTCCTCAACCTGGCCGACAACGATACCGATCGCCTGAATAAGTGAGTTCAACTCAAATCAAACACAAGCATTTCCCAAAACTTGCGAGCAGACACATCTAGACTATAGACACCCTATATATTATCTGGTACGAGCGCACGAACAGTCGCTCGTTCATTCACAGTTGTAGTTGAATATAATTAATTTTATATTTAATGCCCCAATAGGTGGAGCTTATAATTTATAGATCTACCTGTGGAGTAGCTCAATAAATGAGCTTTCGTGCAGATATACCTGCTGATAATATGCCTATTCCTTATTTGCATTTCTATCCTTATCCAATTTCAATCCATTTGTATTGTATAGGCTTATAGACTATAAAGCTTAGTTTACATGAGCAGAATACAGTTGTCTAAGCTATGTGAATAGCTTCTGGCAATCGGGAAGATCAGACTTTGATTCAGCCTTAAGATAGTTGAAAATTTCCGGACGATCCTATCGAAATTCAACGTCCACAAGAATCTAAGACCCAAGCTTAATATATACTGAACATTTTCAAATTGCAATATTATTGAAAACGATCACTGCTATCTAAGCTGGTGCAAGTTTAAATTGAAGCCCAATTTCAAATCACTTCAGCAGACTAAACGTTATTTATTTGATAGAGTCGCCAGATTTACCTGCAAAAGGATATGTGTACCATAGATAAAGAATTGTAATATTAACAGAGAGAGAGTGGCAGAATATAATAAAGCGGTTATATGCACATCTTGGACAATAAATTTGTTGGATGGATCGTGTTTGCTTAGGCTCCTATTGAAAAAGAAAAGCAAAAACAAAGAAATGAAACTGCTAATCTGAATTCATCTCGCTCGAACATGCGAGCGACTCTGTTGACTCCAGGGTCCTATCCTCATTACTTGTTAGCGAATCGATTATTGAAGTCGAAGGCTGACCCCAATTTTCAGATGTGCTGACGAGGAGCCGTACTTTCGCTATAATTTTATCGTAGAGTTCGATGGGCACCGCCACTTTCAATTTGCATAACAATATATGCGGATCTGCACATATCATGATCGCGTTAGCGAAATAGTGCACAGCTCTGTCCCAGTCCTTGCTGCGCACACAAGTCTCGCCTAGGTACACGTGCCGCAAAAAGTATTCGACTACTTCAGCGTTTAGCGGGGGCTTGCGTAGGGCGCATTGTGACAGCTCACGCTGCCGCCGCTCGTGCACCCGCCGCTTGTATTGGGGATCTCTGCGCCGTTTGTGATCAAAGTAAATGCAATAGCTCACAAGTGCAAGGGCTGCCAGACCAACAAAAACTACCGTCTGGCCACTTAATTCAAACATTTTTTTCTACACACTTTACTTCAAATTTCGTCCTACACAACTTTAAACCGTACCAAAACTGAATAAAAATATGTTCTCAATTATATTTTTTGAATGAAAAATATAGTCAAGGCTTGCCAAGTTCGAGCAGCCAACTATTGTCCATAGATTTATAGGACATGTTAGAAAAAAACCTTTTAAATAGTCCATTAGATATAGAGCCCTTATCAACTCGATCGACTAAGAAAGTTTAACTGCAAGTATATTGTTAAGTGGTATTTAACAAAAATTTCATTAAACAATGTTCACAAAATTTGCGATCTATATAAATTGGAAAAGTATGAAGCGACTTACTTGTATAAATAAAGAAAGCTTGATATATCTTCAGTTTTTGACAAAAGCAAGTATTTATTATTTTAAATTTAGATGAAATCTGTTAATCTGGAGATTATTAAATGTATCTGTAAAACCAACAACAACGCTTGGATCACAGACAATTTATATCTATTATTTCAAATATATATCGATGAATGATTAACTATATCAATTTCATTCCAATTACAAATCTAAATATGTAGCTCCTAACGGTGGGTGGGGCGAGTTGCATTAAGGCGAAAGGAGTTGAATATCGTTCAACACCGCATATCAAACACCGCAATAGACGACACAAGATATGGCGATGCTGTGTTGCCCAAGATTGTTGATAGGTGCAACGGCACAAACATACACACAGAGATACAAATGTGAAAAGGGAAACAGCGGGAGATAGAGAAAGAGACATGTTTTTGGGCACAACTTGGCAGCACTGCTGCAAATTTGGGTACTTTTTCGCCAGTTCTAGCGGCGTGAATTATAGCTTTATTTTAACACCTCTACTGTCAAAGATCCACAGTTCTTTTCAGATTACCTGACAACTTTCCAATTCAAATTTACTTTAAATGTCAGTTTCTAAACTTAAAGAAGTGTTAAGTCTGAACGCACCATCCTATATGTTAAGGAGGAACATTAAGCTTGATTTGCTCCCAGTCTCTTATTAAGTCGAAATTTAAAAATGAGCACCTTTACAATTTCACAATTAAGGCTTAATTTATAAGCCTTATTAATTATTATATTTTTTAAATAAACGCTTAAATTGCTATAATTTTAAAATACCTGAAAATTACGTAACACACGTAAAACTGTTTTATAGTACGGATTCTACAATAAGAAAATTTCATAGCATTACTTGATTAGTAATAAAAATGGTCTTGATATCATATAAATATTTTACCAACAGTCTTAAAAGTCTTGCTTGCCTTTTCCTACATTCTTTAACAAGTTAATTTGGCGTGTGCAAGCCCTGAAGAGTGGAAACACTGCTTGTGACCACGTTGGCAATGTACTGCGAATTGTGTTGATAGGAAGGCTAAGTGCTGGGAGGTGTGCGTAGCGGCACAAATGGAAGCGATGTTAAAGCGATTTACGCCCGACTGCATCAGACTGCAACACAACCAAACCACCATCAACCCTTCCCCTTCTTCGCCTCAGTTTCACTAAAACCTACAATTCACTGCGCTGCACCCAGTGTGCTCCGCAGCTACAAAGGCGCAAATGCAGCATCCATGCGGTTGCATGCAACGGCGCTTTCATGTTGCCTGTGTCGCTAACCGAGATGCAGACGGAGTCGGAGCCGAAGCCGGAGCCTGATCCTGAGCCTTAGCCGGTTGCAACAACCGCTGTGTTTTGCGTAGTGTGTTTTCATACCCTGAAACCATTGAAAATTGGAATTCAGGGGTATAATAGTTTTGTTTTATAAAATGTATGTAATCGGCAGAAGGAGACGTGGTAGACCCCATATATATTATAATATTCCTGATCAGGACGACAAGCCGAATCGATTAATACCTCCTGTCCTTCTGTCTGTTCGTTCGTCTGTCCGTATATACCTATGAGAGCTAAAGACTTTAATTTTCTTGTAGGTCCGCCTATAGCAAGCGCATATCAAGTCTGTTTCAAATAATCGATATCTATTTCCGTTTTATTGTTGTTGAGTAAAAATATTATTGAATTTAAATTTTTAAATTATATCAGGATGAGTCTTTTTGAAGTGGCGGTCTTAACAGAGTCCTGATGACCTAAAGTCAGTTTCTCTTCTTTTTTATGCTATATACAATCTATAGAAGATATTTAACAACACGCACGGGTTTCACGGCATCTTCTAGACTGAACTAGACTACAGTAGACTAAACTAGAGTTTCATACTGGTTTTTATAGTTTTAAATATACATTTTTAGCAATAAATATAAGTCACAATATTAAAACCTATAATTACAAATGCGGTATGCTTGCGATACAGCTGTAAAGCTATGCATCGCTAATGCCTTCTGCTCTGCTCAATTTTACGGAGTCATGACAATTTCATCATGTTTAAACCAAGAGAATCTGCGGAAGATAAAAATTAATCTCGATATGCTTATGATTCATCTAAGGTTCCAGTACAGATATAAGTGTGTGAGTGCAGCGTTCTTTCGCCGAGCCTTCCGCCATCGTTCTTTGCCATTGGGCAATACTATTGGATCGACGGAAAAAGTAACACACATGCATACTACGCAAGCAAACTGACAGAAACTCAAGCAATATCGTTGCTGTAGCTTCTGCGGTTGTTGCAACAGCATTTTGCATGCATTTGCATGCCACGCAGCCCTGCATGTGTGGTTGTGTTTGTGTAAGCGTGTCTGCGTTTCATGGCATTGCCATCAGCTGCGCTGTTCCCATCCCCAATACTCGCTTAAACAAACATCCAATAAAAGGCGCGGCATGGTTTTCTGTTACCTCTGCAGTTGCGGAGTTGCAGTTGCCTTACCCCGCCTTAGCTTTTCTCGATGTTGGTGCTATTGTTAGTCCGCCATTTGGCATCCGAAATATTCCCCCACACACTCAATCGGCAAGGAAATGCTATTAGATGCGTTCAGATTTTCAGTAGATTTCTAATATTTTTCAATCATACTTGCGGATTTGGAATAAGCTTAAATAAATACATTAAATTCTCATATGTAATGTCACGGTCCAAAAAGCTTATTAATCCAAAGTTATTTCTGCATTTTCCCATGTATTGTATTTTTATTGATCATGTATTGTATTTTCGAAAACGTAGTCTCGTAACTACCTCTGGATGTCTATTTAAAAGTTCATTTGTACATGCGCTGGTGGAGGCTTTTTGAAAAGCACACTGAACATTGCCTAGCTTTTGGCTACGATCAATTCTCAAAAAGTTTTTATTAATTGAACTGTTATTATACCTGAACTCATTGAAATGAAACATTTTGTTATGTATGTAACAGGCAGAAGAAAGCGTCACAGACCCCCGAAAGTATATATTTTTTTGAACAGGACGACGAGCTGGCCCTTTTTAACTCATCCCTCTGTCTTTACGACCGTCTGTCCATATGTATAAGTGCGTTGATATCAGAACCTATGTGAGCTAGAGACGCGCATATCAAGTTTGTTTCAAATAATCGATAATTATCCTCCATTTATTGTTACCAACTGGTAAAAGCACGTGGCAAGCAGCGACAAGCGTACGAATTTTTCCAATACACATGCAAAAACACGTACATTCAAATGCGTGCATTCTTGTCTATTTGTTTATGATTCGATTTGCAACGTTTTATTGAAACAGTGAAGTGACGGTATTGGTAGAAGCAATGCGCGTTGCCGAAGGGGCGTTTGGGCCAGTCCAGGTGTCGTGATG